AAACATGGAATATCGTCGGCCGGATGCAGGCGCAGCATCAACAGTTGCATACGCATGAAGAGATATTAAGATACGAGTTGCAGGAGAAGAGAAAAATGTTGCAGGAATTGAAACAGGAGTTAGAATACTGCAGAGAAAAATGGGAATCAGCTAGACAAAAAAACACGAATACTGAACGAGAATGGAGAAACTTGCGTCGCGAATTCGCTGCACGGAAAGCTTTAGCTGTCCATGACTCTTTCAATAGGTCATTTATTTAAAATTGTATTGTATATGTCACTATTTTAATTCAATAGTAATATAAATAAGATGGCTTTATATAAATAACAAGAATTAGAAATTTATTTTATTTTTTTTAACAGATTTTAAAAATATTTTCATTTTAATTAATATTAATATTTATGAATTTTATCATTAGTTATTAGAAACTAAATAGTACCAAAACTCTTCTTTTAACAGATTGTCTCAAAACTATCTAAAATATTTTAATGTTCCATTAGAAATAATAGAAAAACTAAAGAGAATTGTAGAACTATTAGGTTTTATTATTTAATACGAAAATTGTTCTGCAATTCTTGACTCATATTTCAATTATTCTATATAGCGCTGAAAGCGGTTTCAGTGATGAGAGAGGTGATGATACTGACGAAGAAGAAGAAGCGATTGAGGGACGAATCAGACACGGCCCGCGCAGACGGACACGAAAGGTTTTTTAAATAATTTTATAAATTTTTATAATTCTTCATTATTCTAAGATAAAATATTGCTCGAATTGATGCAGGAGAGTCCTAGAGCGCCGACGCCAGATACAGAATCGGAACAACCGACAGATACTGAACTGTCAGAATCAAAGACTGGTTCCTCAATGACTTTAGAACAACGCACGCCGACTCCGGAGACCGAAGCGGAATTGGACGAGGCAGAAATTGTGCATATTGATCCGGAACTTATTAACATAACAGAAGCTGATGTAAGCAAAATTACAGCAAATTGTATATAAATATTTATTTTATTGATGATTTAATTTATATAATTTTGAACAGAGCGTTATGGAAGGAATGCAAGAGATTATGGATCCTTTGGATCAAGCTCTTACCAATGTTATACAAAATCTTATAAAAATTGACCATGGAGAAGGCGAGAATGTTTTGGCTTCGCAGGAGAATATGACATCTTTCGAAGATCTATGTGATAATCCAATTCTTGAAACTAACGACGATACAAAAACTGATCAAACAACAACTTCTAGGATAGATTTATGCGACGAAAATGCGCAATCTTCATCACTGACCATCGAATCTCGGTATTCGTCACCCGATGCGAAGATATCAAAACAAACAACTACGATTATCGATTTGTCTTCAACAGTGTCTAATGATGAATCATTTGAATTGTCGTCCAGAAATTCATGGCAACGTGATGAAGACGATGATAGTGAGACAATAAAATTCGAAAGTATTCCGTCATCGTCCGTTTCTCATATACCCAGTACTAATGTCGCGAATACAATCAACACGATGTCCGTCTTTTCCATTGGACCCCTTCCTGTATCTAATGCAGCATCCTCGTCAATAAAAAGCGTGCAGTTCAGCAATCCCTTAATCATGGGTCCGTCTAATCGTTTTCTCGCTCCAGTCTTTGGTACGGCCGCAACAGAAATGGAAAGTTTTACGGATAATTGTATTATCTCCTCGTCAAACATTTGGTCTTCCTCGTCAACGGTATCAAATAAAGAAGAGAAGTCGATAGAAAATATGGATCAACGATCTTCCAAACTAATAGATAACATCGTAGATTCTGACAATGTTTCCGTGGATTCTTCTTCGAGTTTGGATACGGTCCGAGAATTTCCTACGGCCAACATTAATTCTATACCTTCTACATCAGTATCTAAAGACGAGCTGCAAGAAAGCAGGATAAGCACGCAAAAAGAAACTACTACGATTAAATCTCGAACTCCAGAAGAAATTTTGGCGACACGAGCTGATCGATTGAAACGTTTGGAGGAACAAGCTGATTGGCTTATGAAAAAAATGAACGCTACAAGTAAACGTGGTACTGCTCTCTGCACAAAATTGGAGGAGCTTCATAATACTTATGGTGAACCACCAGTTCCTCCACCTATGCCAGACGTTTTACCTAGCTGTAGGTTACCATGCACCCTGCCCAATCTACCTCAGGTAAAAGTATGTATAGATAAATTATCCTCGATTTAATTTTTTCATACTTTAATTTTTTTTTGTAGGTACCTGAATCATTATCCGATGCTAGCAATATTAAGAATATTGAAGGTGAAAGTTCGAACACGGTAAAAAATGATGCGTCAGTCACAAGAAAATGAGTCGTAAAACATCTATAATTTCTAACTTGTAGAAAAAAATTAATTAATATTTATTTCCAAGCAAACAAAGCTGCAATCCCTTCTCTGTATACAAAAGTGCATCGAAAACAATGTATTTTATATCGTGATCATGATGTGTGTAAAGTACATTTATCGTAATATTAATGCAGCAAATAATAAAGTAAGCTGTATTAAATTGTGATTCTATATTGATCTTTACTCTCAATATGCCTTTAATTTTAATTTAAAGAAATAAAGAGATTTTTCTTTTATTTATTTATTCCTTAATTTTATATTATATATACTAGATTTTTTTCTTGTAGAATGAAAATTGATGTGATTTTTTTGTTTCTGTATTTTGTATCTAGGATATATAATTAATAAAGAAAACTATAAAAATTTTTCCATATATCATAAACAATAATTTATACATGGTGATTTATTTTAAATGATCTTTTAAAATAAAAAGAAAGAACTTAAATTTAAAAAATAATAAAATAAATTCGAAAGAAACGCGACAATTTAACAACGAGAACAATTTTATTGTATCTATTTTGAAAACACTCTCCATCCTTTACTTACAATTAGATGTATTCTCATCTTATTGGACGATATCTTCTTTTTCACAGAATGAAATAAGTACTAAAAAAGAACAAAAAAATACAAATTACGTTCATTAAAGAATCTGTATATACCCCTCGTACTTATTGATAAATACACGAATTAAATTATTCTACATATGTATAACGTAAATTAGATGTTAAAAATATGTAACGTAAATACGCGTATTTAGTGTTAAAATTAAAAATACAAACTAATAATTTTATAATTAACTTACTGTATTTTTTAGTTGATGATAGTGAACCTGAAAAATCGAGTATGACTTACAAGAGCATATTTGAGAATAAAATAAGCGAATACGCGTCGTTGAAAATGAAGCTACAGCGCTTGCGCTAGTTTTACAGCTATAGATATTCTATGAGAAAAGAACATCTGTTAAATTTCTTCGTAGCTGAATTGAATGCGTAAACGCGAAATATTTTTTAAAAAAGTAGTATTAAATTGCGAGGGTTTTAATACTATATCAGTATTTTATTGCATATTTCATGGTACTTTTATCATTGAAAATTCAAAAAATTTTCTAAAATTTATGTAAATTTCAACAGTTCAATGAAATTGGTTGAATTACTGAAATTGTCTTAAATTGTAGAACATTTCTTGAATTAGAAAAAAAAATGTTAAAAACATTTAATCATTCAATGTATGGTGGGAATAAGCACAACTTCATTGATCAGTTCCGTTAAAAGCATTTTAGAGTTAGCTGAAACATGATCAGCGTTGTGGATAGATATTTCAGTCTTAATCGAACTCTTTTGTTGATACTTGGTTTGTGGCCTTATGAAAAATCAAAATTTGTTGGATTACAAATAATATGTATATTTAGCATTCTTATAACTTGCTCTACGTTTCAGGTATAAAGATTTTAATTTTAATATTATATTAGATCTAGAATTAATTTATAATTGCAAATTTATATTTGCTGATTAATTTAAGAATTGATATTTCTCTGAAAATATAAATTTATTTGAAATAAATGAGCAATTAAATATAAAACATTAGTGCAAATATTAGTAAGATCTTACTGTTTATATATACAAAAAAAGTCTGTGCAAGTATGCATATACAGTTGTATGTTACAGTAATAAAATGTTATTATATATGTCGATTTTTGTTGCATATAGTTACATAATTAGATTAGTATGAAATTTTGAAAATTATAATTATACAAATTGATATTATAAGGCTTTCACGAGAATTTTTCACAGAAGTCACGCGTTTCGCAGATTATCTCCTTGTCCAAATATATTATTAGAATATCAATTTTTTGTTAACATGTAATTTATTTCATCAATATCAATTTGACAGTATCAAGCTACACCATGTCCTGAAATAAATTGCAATGTTTATGAAACGTTAGCACTTCAATATTTAAACAAATAAAAAAATTAACTCGCGAAATCCAGTTATACGATTTGATAATAATTGTTGTATAAAATGATAAAATGATTATAGTTATGTTAAAATGGGTTAAAATGTAAATATCGTTTTTTCATTTCTTTTTAAAAAATTATTATTTATAGCTTACAGCAATATTGACTTCATATTCTACAGAAGACATCATTAAAGTTCTTTCTGTCGCACTTCCTTTCATCTGCTGTATTATACAGTATAATTCCTTTTACATTAACAGTGAAACGGCAAGTTGTAAACTACCTTTATTAAAATAATTATTCAATATGTATATATATATATATATAAACAAATTTTTTAAAATTTTACTAATAATAAGATATATAGTATAAAACTTATTGATTGGATAGATAAAAAAACTAATGGATCAAATTCAGCATGTCTACAACGATTTAAGAGACAGCAACGAAATTGCTATTATAAATAAATATGGAAATAATGCAAAACAGTATACGGTTGTGCTTACAAGTAAGGAAGTAAAACATCTTTTTATTTCTTTTTACATTGGAAATTATTTAATGAAATTTTTGTTAAAATTTTTACAACTAAACAATATCTAGTTTAATTTATAAGTCAAGTTAGCATTTATTAAATGTAAATGTACCAAAGAATAAAAGTGCAAGCCAAAATGCTGTAAATAAAATATTTTAACTGTACATAGTCATAAGTTTAATATTTTAGTTTTAAAAATAAGATTGATATTGCAATAATACAAGTATTGCTTTGAAATATGAAATAATGGTATCAAATACAATATATCTTAGAATTTTTCATATTTAATAAAGGAAATATAATAAATATACAGAATGTTCAATTTTAATTCACTTTCAAAAACTTTTTTATTATTGATTTCAGAAAAATGATTTAAATAAAACTATGTTTAATAAAATTTAATTTAATTTTCGAGTTCATCATATATTGATTTAAAAAAATTCACATATAAAATATTTTAAAGTATATATTACATATATTTATAATAACATAAAATGTTAAAGAATATTTTATTAA